GCAAAGAGGCCAGATTATTAAAGTTGTGGCCCAACCAGATTTAGGACCTCAGGTAAGGCAAGGCTATTTTTGTAGATACTTTAATTTCTCAGAATTTTCTTGCTTATCTTCTCTGTTGCCTCTCTCTGGAAGAGTTATCAGATACTTTTATTAGCAGGTAACTGAAGTTATGAATGCTCTGGAAAATAATTTTTCATCCCAGAGAATACCTTTTTCATCATCTTTCACAGCAATCGTTGTCACCTAATGAACTTGACAGGAAGTAGGTTCAGAACCAACTATATTAATGAATTAGAATTCATTTCAGCAAAATGTGTTGATAGTTTCTATCCTTAGCTTGGCAAGTAAATGCAGCAGAATGAAATAGAAAAGTCCAGAAGTGGAAGAATAAAGTGGGTGACTTCATATCAGGCTTTTAAAAAATGAATATTCATTGATAAAACTTACTGCAAACAGGAAAACTACCATAGCAGAGATTAAATAGAATATCTGTTTTAAACAAAACAAGCAGGGGGAAAACAAAAATAAGACCTTACAGATAAGCAGTATTGTGTGACTTATTTCAGTCAGCCTGACTCTTGAGTGGCTTACAGTTCCTCCATATAGTATTTAGAATTATAACATGCAAAATATAATATAAACCAAAAAAAAAAGTTCATAATCAATAACATCACCAATACCATGTCATCCTCATTCTACCTCCTGGTTCCACATTCCTGGGGGCAAAATTCAACCTTTGATGATAGAAGGAAGAGTAGACATAAATAGTCCAAAGACAGCAGCTTATCATATAAACAACAATTCAGCCCAGGTGGCAAGAAGTCTGGGAAGAAACTTTTCAAATAATTCAAAGACTCCACCTTAATGAAGGCACTATAAATGAGGGTGGGATTTTTTTTCCCCCCAGTTTTTGAGATTCTGTATATACCCCCAGTCTATCTCTCCAAAAAAGAAAAGATTCGAGAAAATGATGGGGCTTCAAGATGCAGCGAGCCCTGAATGAAGATGATCTGAATCCTCTTCCGTCAGGATTCAGCCTCTGATATGGGAATGAGATTGCTGAAACCTGTGCTTCCTTGATTTTGCCCAGCTGTGTGGAACTTCTTGCAGAGCAACCCAGTTTCCCTCACTCACAGCCCTGGCAGATAGAAGGATACAGCGATCAATAGTATTGAAGGTAGCTGAGAGATCCAGCAGGCCATGAGAGTTGCACTCTCTTCACCATGGCCTCATTACAAGACATCAGCAACAGCAACTGGTGCAATCTCATTCCCATATCTCATTCCCATACTTCTCCTAGATGGAAAAGAGGGGAGGCTCCTTAGGAGCAATGCTGCTAAGAGGCACAGCCTCTTCTCTATTCCAGGGTTCAATTAGGCCAACAGAACTGCCAGCCAAGACCTCAGGAAACTCCCCAAGCATCCTCTGGAAACCAAGTGGATCCATTAAATATCTAAGGCAGACCAATCAAATGGGCCCATTCTCCCTGCAGAGGTCAACGGTGTAAGGAATCTCCATGGAAATCAGAGATTGCTGTGGCCATGAGAAAGGGAATTTATGCTTAAGCTCACCTTGCTGGAAGTTTCTCAAAAGGTGGAGCATTGATAAAGAAATAATATCTCTATACATTTATATAGATGAAGCTTTGATAATAAAGACATTCATAATTAATATGTCTGTAACTATTAGCCATGATAGCTAATAGTTGAGTTGAGTTAAAACTTGTATAGTGATTAGAATATTTGAATGTAACAGACAAGCCTCTGCTTAGATCCTCATTTAATCAGCCAACTCATTGTGTGGCCTTGGGCAGGTCACTATTTCTTAGTCTAACCAAAGATTCATTGCATTGTTCTGATTATAAAAATAAGGGAGAGGGAAAGAGAGTACTTTACTGAATACGAAGCAATTTGAACAAATAGCAATGGAAGCTATCCTTTCACATCATCTTTGTAAACCAGCCAAGGTGTATCTCATTGGTCACTCTTGGAATGAGTGATCTTTCCAGATCTTTAATCAGAACCAGCAAAGCAGTCTGCACACTTTTGAAAGGAAGATAGAAGATCAGTTTCTTTAGTGCTAATCAAGTTTAAACACCATGGACTTCAAAGTGAATTTCAGCTTTAAAAATGAGAGTGTGCTAAAAATATGACACTTTATGTCCACTTTGGAAGCGATGCCTCTCAGTGGGCAAGCTACATACCACTTACATTATGCAGAATGCACAAAAGTATTTTAAATATATCACATCATTTTTTGTGCTAGAGGAGTCTGTTACATCCCAGCTACAATTTTTGTTGGTCAGCTCCTGATTCAAATTTTAAGATGGCTAGCCACTTATGAGCAATCCATTCAACATTTTTGAGAAAATTGTTTCACTTTGCCCACTGTGTCCCCATTGTGACCCACTGTATGGAAATGGGTTTATTAAAGGCAGAGACTAGGCGTGGGTTAATACCTCCAACTTAAGCTGAAGATTACTTTCTGTATCGCTAACTCCGTCAATACTTGTTGACAATTTGCTGGCTTCTTGAAAGTGGAGATCAAAGAGATGATTCAAATTGATTTTCTCCATTATTGTTTTGACTTTTGGGTTATGATCAAGTAAGTTTGCAGTAAAGCAGAAACTAGCAGATTCCAGTAACCAAACAAGAGCTTCACATTTGCCCCACAAATATAATATGCAACCATGCTTCCAATTTTAAAACAGTGTTTACATTTGCTTGATTTAATTTCCTTCAAGGATATTGGAAGGCAGATTCAGGAACATCCCCTACAGCCATAAAACCTACCCTTGTGGCTTATACCATTAAAAACCTGGAGCATATCCTACTTTATCCTACTTTTCATATGGATAAACATAACTGCATAATATTGCCTCTGATTGGGAATATTCTTGGATGTTCACATGAGTAATACATTAGATATCTTCAGGATAACCAAAACTCAGATATCACACTCCAGATTTCTTTGCTAATCTGTGAGGCTAGGCACCAATTTATGTTCAGGTAGAACATAGCTGTGCCAAATCTTAAAATGGCTTGTAATGTATTTTATTCTAAATTTTTTTGTAAAAAAATGAGTGCAGTTTAGTTGGTCCTTATATTTTGATTTATGACCATAATGAAGTTTTAGCTATCTCTCTTCTGTCCCCCTAAACCAAGCTTCTGAGTTCAAAAAATAAGGGTTCAGCAACTGCAAGGTAGGAAAGACAAAATTCTGGAGATAAATTTCTTTTAAGTTTAAATGTGTATCTTTTTCCAGTTTGCTTTTGTTGGTACATCTCTGTCCGCAGGGGAAGTTTCTGTGCACCTCCCTAAATCACATCTCTGTTCTGATTCATAAGTATTTAATATATTGACATTGGGATGTGTAGTTGGCCGAAAAGTGAAGTCCTGTGATCAAAATATTTGTGTATTTATGTAATAAATAAAAAACCCAAATCCAGGTTCTAATACTTGGACTATTATTTAAACAGTCTTTTAAAAAAAGTGTTAAGTTACAGTTTTATCGAGCAAGGATTAATAACAATATAGGTCACAACTATGTGGGTTTCTGATAAAAATAGCACAAAATGTTTTAAAAATTGCACAGAAGATCTCTGAGTAATCAGTAGTGATTTTAGAAATGTCATTTGCACTCCTGTTTAGAAAAGTTTTTTTTTTTCTAATCACGCTCATGTAGTTATATAAGATTAGTGTGGCTCATATGAGGCGAAGGTTGATAACACAGTTTCCCACTTGTGATTGCTGTCTTGTATTGTAAACTGCTATCCAACACAGTGACACATAAGGCGTTCATCAAACCCCATTAGAATGCTAATTTTAACATTTACTAAAAACACAGCATCAGAATGTTAGTCAGAGTACTAAGCATTCAGAGAAGCCACATTTTCTTCTGTACATTTTACAGACGGCCATCATGGCAGTGATCCGTGGAACTCGTCCAGTGGAATGAATCCGCCTGGATATGGAGGAATGTTGGGCAATTCACCTCATATTCCACAGTCCAGTAGCTATTGCAGTCTTCATCCTCATGACCGCTTGGTAAGACTACAAATCAGTGTAGTGTGTATGTCAGTTTGTGTGTGCCACAAATATAGAAGACAGACTGTTACAGGTAGTCCCCAGTTTAAGAATGAGTTCCGTTCCCAAGGTCTGTCCTTAAGTCGAATTTGTATGTCAGGTGGAACAGTACTGTATGATATTGTATAAGTAGTATTGTGTAATTAACTCAAACTATTGTGTATTTAACTCAAATCATTGTGTATTAAACTTGAATTTTGCTACAGCAGGCCCTGTTCTTAACTATGGGTTATCCGTAAACCAGGCATTCTTAACCTGGGGACTACCTGTACCAAATGTAAACCACGTTCTCTCACAGTCATGTTTTATTCTGCTGAAAGAGAAGGCCTATGTATTCCACTGCTTTTTTTAAAAAAACTATTTCTGATATAAGAAGAATTAAAAATGAAGAAGTCTAGTGTCTTTTCATGGACAACATACACAGAGAGACACCTCTATACATTTCATTGTTTAAAAATAAAATCTCCTCTTTTCCCACATGCATGAGTCTTTAAAACCTAATTGCAAAATGAGGAGGAGGGCAAGCAGGGCTAATTCCATGCAGCAGTCCCCCCTCTTGAAGATGGTTTCTTCCCTTCCCTTCCCTTCCCTTCCCTTCCCTTCCCTTCCCTTCCCTTCCCTTC